TGAACTCCAGTTGGGCCTCAAAGTCCATTCCACTTCGACTTCCACCGCTCTACCGCGTTTTATCATCTACATCTCAGCCCACCCTACTCCATGGTCTCGCACCTCCCATCACGCTACACCTCATTCATTCACCAATCTCAAATCATTAAATTTAAATCCCTTTTACTAATTTTATAAATACAATCAGATCTCATTATTTGATCCAACGGCTAAAGCTGCAAAGAAAACTCATATAATGATGTGGCGGCATAAAAAGCAAGAGTGTGGGGACAAAAATGGCTTCACTTAATTTGATTACGACACGTGTCGCTTATATTTTTTCTTAAAGTGGAATGTCGGTCAGATCTTATGCCACGCATCGGCATCCGCGTGGACAAAAACAGCCGCATCACAGGGGAGTTTCCCAATGAATAATGGCCAGCTGACCACTTCAAAATAAATAAATAAAAAAGAAATGAAAATAGGAAATTACTATTCTACCCTTTATTATAAATCTATTTAATCCAACGGTAAACTCAGCATGGGTCTTTGTATTTCTTAAATTTATCTCCAAGCGCTGTCGTTTTGGATCTGATTAATAATAATATTATATTCATAATATTAATTTATTAGGGACTCCTTCGGAAACATAAAAAGCTCCTTTGCAGTTTCCGTCCCTTTCTCTAACATTCTTCTGATTTATTATTTTATTTTATTTTTTACAAATATTTGATAATTATTTAAATTATATATTTAGATAATGGACAGGTAAGGAAAGAAAAGTTAATTTTGGAAAATTTAAATATCATTTTATTAAAAAAAAAAACAAATAGAATAAATAATTTAAACTTTACCATAACAAGCTAAAGTTACATTTATTCGTTATTTTTTTTTAGTTTGATAGCGAATGAACCTTTCAATACAAAAATATATAATTATTTAATTTTGTTTCTAAATATATTAAAAATATTATCAATTTTATGTGTGATTCATTTATTTATTTTTTAATCATAAATAGACATCGTACTTATCTCGATCGTTATTCAAATAATTAATTTCCTCTAGTCTCATTTGACCATATAATTGAATGAATAAAATAAAATCATAAAAAATAAAATAATAATAATAATAATGAATTAAATAAAAGGTTTAAATTATAGTTAGTTACATAAAAAGAAAAAAAAAATTAAATTCTTTTTTATTTGATATTTAAACTGGGGTGATTTGGAAGCTCAAAATTTGAAATTATTAAATTAATTCAATGAATTTATAAGACACGAAATTAAAAATTATTATTAAATATAAAATAGGAATATAATAAAGTTTAAAAATCTATTTTGGAAACAGAAATATAATTAATGGTATATATTTAAACAAAAAATCCATTGGGATGGGAAGGGCAATTCCGTCCGAAAATATAAGTCTAATCATTTGGTTTTAGAGAGAGAAGGTTAGAGAGAGAGAGGGGAAAAAAAGGAAAAAAAAAAAAAAAAAAGGAAAAATGAAAGAGAGGGCATCACATCGGGGATTTGCAGGGAGCTATATATAAACACCAGAAATAATTTTCACGCCCATGCCGGCCATACAATACGGGCGGCCTCTACTTTCACGAACCATATTCACAGAAAATCCACATTTGGGATTTTTTCATCTTCGTGTTCTTTCTCAATCCAATCTCTCTGGATCAAACACAGCATTCTTATTCTTTTTATTTTGATTTTCTGGCGATGGCTTCCGGCGGTCTGAGCCCTTCCTGTAATGTAAGTCCACGAGTCGGTGGACCGGCGACAAAAACCAGACGGCGTATCACAGACTTTTTGGACTCCGACAGCCGACTCTCCAACTTTTCAGATTTGTATGACGAAGAAGACAATTCCAACGTCTCTAATGCTGGGTCCCACCTCCATCACCATCACCACCATCATGTTCATCATCCCGTGATTAGGCACTTTTTGTTTCGGAATCGGGCCTTGTGTTGGGTGCCTGAGCCTTGGCTTCTCAAGATGGAAGAAGGGCTTCTATTGACCGTCATGATCGTTCAGTCATTAGGATCCGGACGGAACTTCGGGCGTAAGATTTTTTGGATTTTGATGTTCATGGCTGTTCTAACCGTGTTCTTTAAGTTCGCCTTCCTCAATTCCCATGTCGAGATTAACGGCAAAATGATCGATAAAGGACAATTGATCATACAAACGTTCAAAGAAGATTGGGCCATGGCGCAAAGAGCCGTTGCAGAGGACGAAGCCGTCGTCCCCAAACGCCTTCTCGAGAAGATTTCTGTAAGTTCTATTGTTATTATTTAATTGTTCTGGACATATTCCCTTGCCAATAGAATTAAATAACGTCCAATCTTAGTCAAAAGGGACGATGGCGTGATGTACTGCCCTGCCATTGAATTAAAAACAGGCAAATATATGGAATGATTCATCCATCCTATCTGGCTAGAAAATAAATTGTTTTCAGCTGTTTTTATTTGTTTATTCTTTTTTGCAATATATTCATTCTGGACATGTTTCTGGAACTTTATGTTGGTGATCTTGTTGGGTTGTTTTAATCGTCCGGTATAGTTTTAACCAATAAATAGCTGTGGTGGTGGCAATAAATCCATTCCTATTAAAGGTTCAACCAGAATGTTGCTTGCTTTCTTATTGGTTCATATTCAATTCGGCGTTATGTTTGTCGCTTTGGATTTTCAAACGGACTTCTGTTCTTGGACTCCTCTGCTTTGGATTTAACTACCCAATTCCTTTTCTTGTGCTTTGAACTACTCGATTCACTATATGTCGCTATGTTCTAAATTTGTAAGATTCTTGACTTGATTATATTGAGGTTGTTTGTTTGATACTATGTTTAGCAGACGTCTGATATTTGGATGAAACCAAAGAGTGACAATTTCTATCAGTGCATCTCTCGACCCAAGAATCGAATAAGTATGTTTAATAGTTTCCTCATCGTCCATTAAAGCAAGGAGTTTAGAACCCATTGAGCTTATTTCTCATTTCTAAACTTGATATGGTAGGAGCTCGTGGCAAAACAAATGGCTATCTTATTGTACATGCCAATGGAGGACTGAATCAGATGAGAACAGGGGTGAGATGTTTTCACTGGTTTTTCAAGAGTTAAAATTGTCAGCTGAATCACAGCCATGGATCTTTATAACTAAGATATGCCTTTACTTGCTTCCAGATATGTGATATGGTTGCTGTTGCTAAGATTATGAATGCTACACTTGTTCTTCCTTCCCTTGATCATGAATCATTTTGGACAGATCCGAGGTACTTGCAATTTTCAGTTCATCCTACTCGAAATCTTGACTAGCTGATGATGATTTTGCATATAACTCTTTAACTTCGGGTTTTGTAGTGATTTTAAAGATATTTTTGATTGGAGGCACTTCATGGATGTTCTAAGAGATGATATCGAAATCGTTGAAAACGTGCCTCGTCGGTTGGCATCGGTCAAGCCCTTTGTGAAGGCTCCAGTTTCCTGGTCCAAGGTTTAAGAAAACATTGATTTTTATGTGTGAATCATGATTGTTTGATGTTTCTATTTGGGTTTTAGTTCTCACAATCTATTCAAATGCAGTCTAGATATTACCGAGGAGAGATGCTACATTTGTTAAAGAGACACAAAGTGTTAATGCTCACGCATACTGATTCTCGAATAGTCAATAATGGTTTGCCATCTTACATTCAAAAGCTCCGATGCCGTGCCAATTACAAGGCTCTACGGTTTAGCAAGGAGATTGAGGAGCTTGGGAAGATCTTAGTTGATAGATTAAGAAAGGGAGATGAACCATATATTGCTCTCCATCTCAGGTATGAGAAAGATATGCTTGCATTCACTGGCTGCAGCCACAACTTGACGGCAAAGGAAGAGGAGGAGCTCAAAGTTATGAGATACAATGTCAAGCATTGGAAGGAGAAAGAGATAGATGCAAAAGGAAAGAGAATTCTAGGGGGATGCCCAATGACCCCTCTGGAGGCAGCCCTGTTGCTTAAAGCCTTAGGATACCCTTCCAAAACTAAAATCTACATCGTTGCCGGGGAGATTTATGGCAGCGATAGCATGAACGCCTTTCGATCGGAATACCCCAACGTCTTTTCACATTCGACTCTTGCAACAGAGAAGGAATTGGAGCCATTTAAGCTGTACCAGAATCGGATGGCTGCCTTGGATTATATCGTGGCAGTAGAGAGCGATGTGTTTGTTTATACCTATGATGGAAACATGGCTAAAGCAGTGCAGGGTCATAGGATGTTTGAAGGATACAGAAAGACAATAAATCCCGACAGGTTTGTTCTCAACCGATGTCGTTCCTTGTCGGTTGGATTGTGACTACTTCCCGAGTCTAAATATCAATATACATTTCATTTTTTTCAGGCAAAATCTAGTCAGGTTGGTTGATCACTTGGAGAATGAGGCCATCTCTTGGGAAGAATTCTCCAAAGAAGTGAAGGAGTTGCATAAAGACAGACTTGGTGCACCACATTTCAGACAAGCCGGTGAGAGTCCCAGACTAGAGGAGAACTTTTATGCTAATCCTTACCCTGGCTGTCTTTGCAACAAGCCTCGGAATCGAACATTCAAACTAAAAGATGAACACAAACGAAGTCTTCAGGCTTCACTGCAGAGATAAAATTACAATTTTACTACAACCCAGTTGCTTCTTCTGCCCAGGGCACCACGGCTGTTATGGCTCCTCAAATTTGACTGCCATTGTTCGAGCCACGAGTACGATACATAGCCAGATGAATCATACCAAGGTTTATCTGTCGACTTCCTATAGCTTCATAAGCAGAAGCGCAAAATTTTCACCACTTTTAGGTAAATTCATGGAGGATAGGATTATGGTAGATGAGTTAGAGTCAGTTCAGATGTAGTTCTTCTTATGACAGTAAATCAGGATAGTTTTATACAGACAGCTTCCCTATCATAGTGGAGAAAAGTTATTCTTTACATTCGTTATTCTTTGCTTTATTATCATCCCCCCTTGATTCATAATGTAAACATTTGGAAAAGAAAAGGTAAATTAATTGTCATTTCTTCCATGATTCTCACCTTTCTTGTTCATTTTGGTAACACCTTTACTCTAATGTCTAGTCCAAGTCCAGCAATGGAATGTTGTTCTATAAACTCAAAACTGAGAAAAAAAGCATACCCAATACAGCTACTCTACCACATTGATGGAACATAAACCTGTTCTTTCAGATTCTGTGTTGCACTTTCAGTAGGAAATCCCCTGACTGCACCAATTGTCCATTGAGAGATGATCCCTGCTGCGATTGCGAATCGAAGCTGCCGTTCCAGAACATCTTGGCTTTCGAACATCTCCGGGAAAGTAGTAAGCTTTCTCATGATCCCAGCCACAAGAGCATCACCAGAACCAGTCCTGTCACAGGTGAATGGTGTTATGAGCACATCTTCTGTTCCGATCACCACGCCGTGAAACGAAGGAGAATAGTAATGAATCCGCAATGTTCCATCTGTTACGAGCAACAACTTGAGATGATCATGCCACAACGGCGATATCTCCTCCGGTGAGTAATGGTAATGGTCTCGACGATTCTTGGTTTGTTCAATAGTTTGAGCATAGTATTGAGGCCTGTAATTTCTTTTCTTTTCATAGTATTCTTCATCTAACAGAAACTCCAATTCTTGCCTTGAAACCTCGATAATGTCAGCTTGATTCCAGGCTTTCTCGATGTATTTTCGAGTTTTGTCGCGCGATCTCCACAAAGGTAGCGACAAATTTAAATCGAAGAAGATGAGCCCTCCGAACTTCTTGGACAATTGGATTGCCTTGAACAGCGTTGCTTCCATTGTAGTGGATAACAATGCTTCTGAATTGAAATGGAATATCCTAGCCTGCAGTGAAACAAACAAAATTTATCTTCTTCCATGAAACAACCAGTTTGAAGTGAATGGCCGCTGGGTATTTACCTCTTTGAGCACTGCAAGGTTCAGTTCAGAGCTAACCAGAGAATCCTCAGCTGATTCCTTCACCGTTTCCATCTTCAACTTTCCATCATCAAATTTGATCTTCATGTAAGTACAAGCCGTTCTAGAATTCAAATCAAACTTCACACCTCGAGTCTGTACCTTCTCTTTGTTCATCATCAACACCAGCTCGTCCCCAAAATCATCCTTCCCAACTTTCCCCATAAACGCAGCTCGTCCGCCGAGCCTGACGTGAGATATAGCCACATTCGACGGCGATCCCCCCGGTGCCCTAGCGAACTCCGGCGGGTCCCATTGGAGCATTTTCCACTCCGAGTACTTATCTGGATGCATCTGGTTATCGTGTACGCGAATTGACGGCACAAATTCTTTCTGAGCCGCGCCGAAGCAGCAGATCAATGGCGGATCTTCGTATGGGAAGTCCATTCCATCGTCGTAATTTTCTGCTATTGAATCGATTGCCTCGTCTTCGTCTACCGACATTTGATCAAATAGGTTCACTTGTGTGGGTTCGTCTTCGATGAGGGTTTTCCTACTACGCTTTGTAGAAGACGATGGAGATTTAGTCCCTTTTTTTCTCCCTCGGCGAGTGGGGGTGGGCGTTCCAGTATCCTCATTCCCGTCGGCATTTGAAGCACCTGGTGGGCTGAGTTTCAGAGATTTACACGAACTCTGCAAATAACGCGAGTTGAAAATCAGAGTTTTCTCTCTGAAAATTGATGGATAGAAATGAAGAAAACGGGAAAATTGAAGATGTGGAAGAGAAAAGGTTGCAGGAAGAAGCTGAAATGAAGCCATGGATGCTTCAATTTTAGGGTTTATCCATACTTTTATCTTCAAACCCAAAACCCCAAGACGAAGTTACTGCCGAGTTGGCTGTCTTTTTCTCGTTAAATATAATAGAAAACTGTCGAAGCGATCATCCGACGGCTATAATTTCACTTGTTCATCTCATAATCTCAGTCAACCGCTCGATTAAAGCGATCATCGCCTCCAATTCCATTCTATTCTCAAGACCTGAAACAAACACCAATCGCTTGCTCAGAAAATCGTCGAACGAAAGGTGAGAAAAACAAGAAGCTCTATTCGATCATCTTCAGTTTCGATTTCATTTCTGGATTCCAAATCCGTAAAGATTCAAAGTCTTCACCGTTTTCGAACACGCAGATATGCTATTCTGGACTTTTTTGGAAGGGCTTCTGCTGTTCGCAAACGCCTTCGCAATTCTAAACGAGGATCGATTCCTTGCTCGGAGAGGATGGACGTTGGCGGATATGCCGAGAGAAGGAAGAAACTCGCTCAAAGCGCAGGTAATAGGACTCATCCATGCTTGCCAGTTCTTGAGACTTCCACTCATTCTTTTCAACATCATCACCATCATCATTAAGCTTCTCTCTGGCTGATTTCAGTATAGAAAGTGACAGAGATTCCTGTAAATTATTGTGTATTGTTGAAGCATTTCATAGTTTCATTCGTTGTATGTAATCGATCGTCAACTGGTAATATGTTTGTTTGCTCTTGATTTTAGCTTCCTGTTCGTGTTCTTTGAAGATTACAGATCAATCATGTTCTGAAAAAATCTTTGGATTAAAGAACAGAAACTGATAAGAGAAGATCAGAGTAATCCAGTAATCTTAGTTCGTGTTTATATCCTTCCCAATCACCCAGTGCTAATCTTTTTGGACCGTTTGATTACACTCATTCGAATATGATCTCGATTCATTTATACATCTTTCATTTACGGTGACATTTTACTTAGACCAACGGACAAACTTTGTTATTGTCTGTGGAGATAATCTTCACTCTAAGAAGCAATAAGTAAGTAAAGTGACCATGTCGTAGGGAATACTAAGAATGTCGGGACCACGAGGTCATTCAATATAGAATTAGTCCTATCGAAATATACTTAACTATAGAGTTCCTCCTATAAAATGCACTTTATTGGTATAGACAGTAACTTTTAATTCTTTTAAAAAGATCACTCTTATTTGAATGTGATATCAATTCATTCATGTCTTACCCATTTATTTGAATGTTACAATGATCATAAACACGTTGTTTATAGACTGAGTGGGATCTATAAGGAGCGAACTCTCGATACATCTCGAGGCGCCTATAAAAAAGATACTTTGAAGACTTCGGGATTAAGGTATCGTTAGCTAAAAAATGACATTGGGCAATCCACTTGGTGAGGAACGTCAGGGACAAAGACATTGTAAATTGGTCATAAATGTATAATATTTTATTTTTTAAAATCTAAATAATATTATTTTTAAAAAGGTAATTAAATAAAGAGCTAAACCCTGAGGAGTAAATTACACCCCTAACCCTGTGGGTGAACCTTATGTAATGCTTTCTTCATCAATCTATCACTAATAAATCTCTTCAGAGAAAGGATTTAGGGTTCGCTTCCTTTACCCACGCAGCCCGTCGCCCTTCTCTCTACATACTCGCTTCGTTGTCGGCGGCGGCGGCGTTGTTTTTTTGTTCCGATTAGCTGGTTCTCTCTTGCTTATAAGTTATTTATGCTTCTCCTACTCTGTATTTTACTTTTCGCTTCGCCGTTAATCTTATCTTGTCCGGCAGCATTGATGATGAAACACTCTTATTGTTATCCTTGCACTTTGATTTATCGTGAAGAAACTCATGGGGAATAGTGTTCCTGAAATGCTTTTGTTTATTGAAAGAGTCATTAGTTTTCCATTTTGTAGATCAGGCGTTTTTCTGTTCTAACTTCGCGTCTGGATCGATGATGTGATTTTAAATCTGCGTTATCTATCTGCAATTTCCTTTTAGGAATTGAAGATAAACGAATAGTCTCTGAGATCTGTTTATTGTCTTCTTCATCTTCTGTAATTTTGGCTGATTGATTCGTTTCTCTCTCGGTTTTAGTTAATTTCTGTGAGATTTGGGATTGTTTGCTTGCTTGGTTATCTGATTATACTAATGCAGCCCTTGGATCAATGATGTTAATGGAAAACTGCGTTATCTATCTGTAAGTTCCTACATGGAATTGATGCGATTAGTGATTTCAGAGATTCAACTGCGTTGCTATCATAGTGTATAGTTCAAGGATAGGTTTGATTTCAGATATCATCTTTCAGCTTTTCGCCGGTTGGTGACTGATTGGATTTGTTGCCATTTGTGATTGAAACTTGACTTTTTTGGCCAGAATCTATTCTTCTCCCACCCACCGGATAGCCACATGAAGCTGCCGTGCTGTTGGATGGCCAATTGTTCTTGCTGCCACTTGAAGAAGCTGGCTGTGTTTTTTAATTGCTCATGGGTTTTGCTACCATTTTAGTTAGCTGGCCTTGATTTTTGATGGCTGATGGGTACTGCTGCGATCTTGATATTCAACATTCCAACAATTACTAATCTATTTTACATTATTTCGGTCTTTGAATATTCTAAAATATTCCGCTTTAAAAATGTTTATTTTTTGTATCTAATTCTTAAATGGATCTAAAATGAATGATATATTCAGTTTTACTGAAAGTTTAATTAAAAATTTATAAATTTATTAGATATAAAATTAAAAGTTTTCCGTTCAGGTGGACATATAATTTTTTGTTTAAGGATCGTAGATACATAATTAAAAAGTTTATGAACAAAAAAGAAAAAAAAATGAAGGATTACAATATTTGATAACTAAAATCATTAAACAAATAATTGAATTTAGATCTCCCACACTTTCCCAGTATGAATCAACAATTTATCTCAAAATAAAATAAGAAAACCAAAATAAACTTATTAATTATAAAATTAACGTTTTATATTAGACATAGATCTACTAATAAAATATAGTTTATGCAAATCTAACGTTAATAATTTTTTTAATAATTCATAATTTTAAATATTCATAACCTCATCACAGTAAATTAATTAATTAATTAATTAATTAATTTATTTATTGAAGAACAATTCTCCAACCAGATTTACCGTTGCGTTAATTTCGTAATTTTGTTTATTTTATAAACAAAGTTTGTTAGAAGTGATTGTTTTTGTTTTTATTATTAGAAAAAATCCTATTTATATTATTAATTTTTTAAAAAATGAAAAAAAAAAAAAAAAATTGTCCACCACAAAATCAAGTTGAAAAAAGGTGTGGGGCAGCGGGCAGCGAGGCGCGCCTTTAAAATATTACCTATTTTTGTCTCTCAATTATTCTAAATTTAAATAATATATATATTTTTTCTTTTTTATAAAAGGAGTCTCATTGGCTTTGGTGGATTCCAGCTGTTTCCAGATATATATTTTTTTTCTCTCAAAATTTAAAGACAAGCCAACGGCGTAACGGCAGACCGTTACTTTTACCAAACGCCGTTAGTGCACGTGGCTGTCTTTACCCGCACTTTTTCCCGCTCATTTCTTTTAAATTCCCTTCAATAAAATTTTTTAACCGTTATTTCCTTTTATTTCTATAAAGATCCACCGTCCCCACTTTACCTTTTAATTTCATCTCTCTCTCCCATTTCCTCCTCCTCCCACGATTTCTAGGGTTTCCTGAACCTTTTTCTCTCGATTCTCAGTTTTCAGCCTCCGTTTCTCGTCAATATGCGTGAGATTCTTCACATCCAAGGAGGCCAATGCGGCAACCAGATCGGTGCCAAGTTCTGGGAGGTCGTTTGTGCTGAGCATGGAATCGATTCCATTGGTAAGTACAATGGTACTTCCGATCTACAACTTGACCGGATTAATGTTTACTATAATGAAGCTAGTTGCGGGAGATTTGTTCCTCGCGCGGTGCTTATGGATCTTGAGCCTGGTGTTATGGATAGTATCAGATCTGGACCTTACGGTCAGGTTTTCAGGCCTGATAACTTCGTTTTTGGTCAGTCTGGTGCCGGTAATAACTGGGCTAAAGGACATTATACCGAAGGTGCAGAGCTTATTGATTCCGTCCTTGATGTCGTTCGCAAGGAGGCTGAGAACTGTGACTGTTTGCAAGGTACTTTTACTTTTCTCCCCTCTTTTAAGGTTCGTGTATGTGTTTTGTAGCTTAAGATGGTTTGGATCCGATTTGTAGGGTTTCAGGTGTGTCATTCTTTGGGAGGAGGGACTGGATCTGGAATGGGAACCCTTCTGATTTCCAAGATCAGGGAGGAATACCCTGATAGAATGATGCTTACCTTCTCTGTTTTCCCATCCCCTAAAGTTTCTGATACTGTTGTTGAGCCTTACAACGCAACCCTCTCTGTTCATCAACTTGTTGAAAACGCCGACGAGTGTATGGTACTTGACAACGAAGCTCTCTACGATATTTGCTTCCGTACCCTCAAGCTCTCCACCCCAAGCTGTATGTCTCTTCAATCATAGATCTTACACTTTCTCTTTATTCTTTTAGATCGTTATCTAATAATGGTTTCTTTTGTTCTTGGGCAGTCGGTGATCTTAACCATCTCATTTCTGCTACGATGTCTGGTGTTACCTGCTGTTTGCGATTCCCTGGACAGCTCAACTCAGATCTCAGAAAGCTTGCGGTCAATCTTATTCCATTCCCTCGTCTCCACTTTTTCATGGTTGGGTTTGCTCCCCTCACATCCCGTGGATCCCAACAATACAGAGCTCTTACAGTGCCTGAGCTCACTCAGCAAATGTGGGATGCAAAGAACATGATGTGTGCTGCTGATCCTCGACATGGTCGCTATCTTACTGCCTCTGCTATGTTTAGGGGTAAGATGAGCACCAAGGAAGTTGATGAACAGATGATCAATGTCCAGAACAAGAACTCTTCATACTTTGTTGAATGGATCCCCAACAATGTGAAATCTACAGTCTGTGACATTCCTCCAACTGGGTTGAAAATGGCGTCCACTTTCATTGGTAATTCAACATCGATCCAGGAGATGTTCCGCCGTGTAAGTGAGCAGTTTACAGCTATGTTTAGGAGGAAGGCTTTCTTGCATTGGTACACTGGTGAGGGTATGGATGAGATGGAGTTCACTGAAGCTGAAAGTAACATGAATGATCTGGTTTCTGAGTATCAGCAATACCAAGATGCTACGGCTGAAGACGATGATTACTATGAAGACGAAGACGTTGCTGACCATGATGAATGAAGAATGTGAGTTGCTTGGGACAATCAGTTGCCAGTCTCTGGCAATGCAGTTGGGTGATTTAGCCTTAATCATTTCTCATTAATGTAGAATTAAGGCTTGGGCCATAATATCATCGTCAATTATGATTTGCTTTTACTTTTTGGTTCTTGATTGTGTCGGCTGGATAATGGAACATGAAGAATATCAATTACATATGCTCGTATAATTTGTTGCGTTGAAAATTTCAGATTATAAGCTTTTCACATCTCAGATTATTGTTCTGTTTTTGTTGAAGCATTACATATGCCAATTGAGTAAAATTCCTTGGGGGTTGCCTTATTTGACTATACAATGAATGTGAATTTGAATTGAATCTAAAACAGGCTTGTCGTTGTAGAATACAAAGGTAAATAATGCTTTGCATCTCTAAAAATGTTCTTAAAACTTAAACTTAGGCCTTGCAATTCTCAGGTGACAAAAAAGCAGTGGACAAGTGTCGGTC